AAAAAATAAAATGTGAGCGTAGATTTTTAAACACCGCAAACAAGATACGTGGTTTGGTAATTTCACCGTCGATATCCGTTATTTAACTGGTAGTTATATCTAAAAACATGAGACCCTTGTATAAAAAAAAATCAAAGTTCAGACCTGACCATAATATATGAAAAATGATAAAAGCTAGATAAGGTAATTTTTTTTTACACAATTTTTTTTATTTTTTTATATAACGTATGCAAACGAAAGTGTTAAAAGTAAACATTTTTATGTAACTATTATACAAAAAAAAGGTCATCATTTTTGTGAGCTTTTCATGAATTAGACGAATTTTTAGTATGTTTACGAAAAGCTCACAAAAACTATGACTTTTTTTACATAATGGTTACATAAAAATTTCACTTTTAACACTTTCGTATGCATGCGTTATATGAAAAAAAATTAACTTTCGCACATAATCTTTATCTTTTCCTTCTATGGTTCTGCTACTAGGGTAGAGATTAAATGGATTGCACTTTGAAAAATAATCAAGAGCATTCCATTGTTGCTAGGATTGTGCAACTTGCATTCTCTGCAACATAATTACTGAAATCATGCAAAAAATGAAAATGTCAATGAAAAATATTCATAAGTTTCTTCAAAAATAAATATTTTCCTAGAGGCAATTTGGCAACATTTGAATGCTCTTACGGCGTTTTCCCTTAGCACGGCAGGTGGTTTTGGGCGCTAGATAGACTATCCGTCCCAGAATTTTACTCCGAAATGTTTAACTGTGTAAGAAATAACTCTTGTTTCCTCTCCCGCGAAAGTTGGCAACGCATATATTTCCACGAAAATTCGTATTTAACAGCGTGAATTTGGCAATAGCCGGATTTCCATACGGCGTTTTTCCACTTTCCCACGGCATGGCAGTTTTGAAGTATGCGTGAAGTGCCTCTTTTCTCTCATTGCTTTATTTGTTCCGTCGCCATGCCTGATCTCTCTTTTAATCCTTTCCAATTCGCATGCAAAGAAAGGAGGGCTGTCGACAATTTTTGCCTTCACCAGCTCGCGGCCTGTGAAAATAAACATCGCTTTTAAAAAGGAACCAGCCAAGGCACGAACTCATTCTGTCGTGCTAAGGAAAAACGCCGTATGAACATACGTGAGTTGCCAAATTTCCTTCGATAAAATTTTGTTTTTAGAAGGAAGTTACGCATATTTGGACGTATTTCTACCCAAAAGACCTATGTGGAGGTGAGGAATATGGGGTGTGCTCGTCAGTTCTCTGGCCGTAAGAGTGAATGAGAATAATAAAGCGCCAAAGACGTCAGCGGTAACGACGGGGACCCGGGAGATCGGGGACGACGGGGAAGGCAGGAACGTTTCTTAACTCATGAGCCCTGTCCACAACGCTCTCTTGCCATGCCCGCGGCTCATGAGTCCCACATTCACTTGGCACATAGGTCTGTTTGATAGAATGTAATATCCCGCTTTTCCAATTCTTCAAAAGGAATCACACCCACTTTTACATTGCTTCTTATGCAGATTTCTATAGAGCACACCTCAAATTTCTCACTTCCACATAGGTCTGTTTGTTAGAAATACGTCCATTTTTCCAAGACATTTTTAGATATTTAAGATTAATCTGCGAACAATGATGCTTGAAAAGTTGGAGGAAAAAATATTCATAACTTCCCCAGTAACTTCGTATTTTATCAAAGGCAACATGATAACGACGTTCATACGACATTCCTCCTTGGCACGGCAGTATATACAAAAACACCTGTATGTGTGTATTATTCTGACTTGATAAGGAAGAACATTCAGTTTTCTTCATAGGCGGATTCAGGCACTTTGAACCAGGATGTAGTAGCACAACCTCGAGTAGTACGGTACCTTTGAATAAAACGTTATTTGGCGGTACGGTAATGGCACCTTCGAATAAAAAGTCACTTGGCGGTACGGTACCTTCGTATAAAACGTTATACGACGGTACGATACCTTTGAATGAAACGTCATTTGGCAGTACGGTAACGGTACCCTCGAATAAAAGATCACTTGCAGGTACGGCACCTTCGAATAAAACGTTATACGACGGCACTGTACCTTTGAATAAAACGTTATTCGACGGCACTGTACCTTTAAAAAAAACGTTATTTGGCGGTACGGTAATGGCACCTTCGAATAAAACGTCATTCGACGGTACCGTAATGCCGAATAACCACTTCGTAAAAAGTAAAGTACGACAAGACGTCTGCATCGCCGCAAATCGAGATCCGCAATTTCATCCTCGCAATGTGATTGGCTGGATTGGAAATCCCCGCTGCATGGAGGAATCTCATACTCTGCACCCTTACCAAAGACGAGACACAGCTTATTTTTACGCCCTTAGGAGTGATTTTGAAGAATAAAAATCTAAATAGAAGATGAAAAGCTAGTGGGAGGAGGAGAGCGACTTTTGAGCAAAAAGCACGTATCTTCAATGGGTTTCTATCGGAAGTCGCGTGATTTTTCATTGGAGAATCAGAATGGTGTTGTAAATACAGACACTGAGTGGCCGACTGCCAAGTACGAGGCAGACAATGGGACTTTAGCCGGAGCAGTGGTGAGGCGTTATAATCGACAATCGATATTATCCCATTTGAAACTATGGTGAAGAATCGAAAACATGGTGTTCGTTGCGAGCGCCCTGAAAATCGATCGTTTTTCATAGGTTTAAGGGGTGTATCGATCGATATATCGCAGAGCGCACCACGCCGCTGAGCCGAAGGAATGAAGTCCAGCGGGGTTTCGCCTGGAGCTCACAACGCGATATGAGCGAGAATGTGGGGTTGATAGGGGTGAAAGGAAAATATGTGGATTCTCCCGCGTCTCGCTGGAGGCTACGAAATGTTCGCTCCCGCTGCCAAAGCAAGCTTTCAACGATTTGATTCTTTTTCCGCCGTTGCTTGCCTGAAAGAATGCTGTATTTGTTCGTTTTATGCGCAGAAACACTAACGTCGATACGTATATGGACGTATTTCTGTCGGATGGAACTATGTGCATTGTGACGAGAGCCCTGCTATGCATATATGAGGACTTATCTGTAACAATAGCAGATGTGAAAAATTACCTCTTCGAAACACATTCAAAAAACTGTTTTGGCATCGAGAAAATTTTGAGAAAATACTTGAGATGTGATCTTCGAGGTCTGTATATTATGCCAGAGCCAAACATATTAAATTGTGTGAACAAAACAGTTTTTTAAGCGTGTTTCGAAGAAGTAATTTTTCACATCCGCTATTGTTACAGATAAGTCCTCATATTCTAATGGATATCAGGGCTCATGTCTTAATGCACGTAGTTCTGTTTGGCAGAAATACGTCTTTATGAATATTGACTAGTGTAAGAATGAAGCGGCTTGGAAAACAAGGCACATAAGAGTAGTTCCCCGAAAAAATTGTTACGAATGATTTCAACCAAAACTGGATTGCATTTTGCAAAAAGGAACCAAGAGCATTCCAATGTTGCTAAGATTGTGTATCTTATATTCATTCAATAAAATTACTGAATTCATGCAAAAAATTAGGTAATTTTACAAAGGTAATTTTCGTCATTAAGTTATAGTTTATCGGGAGTAAAGATAAAATTAGTTCAGATAATCTGTGTATATTTGCAAGGCAAACAAAGTTGCAGAATTTTAGCGACATTGGAATGCTCTTGGTTCCTTTTTGCAAAATACAATCCAACTAATTTTGAAGTGTTTTCTCTGAAGAATTCACAATAAAAATCAAATTTTAAAGCATAAAAAAGTTATTTTAAACAATCCTTGCCGTCTTGAGGCTCCCTGTTTTTACGAAATATTGAAACTTTAAACAATTATTTCTTAAAATAGCTAAAAGTATACTAACTCGCTTTGTCCTCGAAGTCCCTCACACTGGAAAAAAAACACATTGGATCTATAGTCCAGACTCTTAAAAACATCGACAAGAAAAAATACTCTTGATTCAATCAGATTTAAGCTTAAATCAAGAACCAAGCCTCTTAATTTGAGCGGATTTCCTTTTGATTTAAGCTTAAATCTGCTTGAATCATGAGTCATTTTTCTTGTCAATGTTTTCAAGAGTCTGGACTCTAGATCCAATCTGTTTTTTTTTCCAGTGCAATTTTTCCTTAATTCTTGTGGCTGAAACGGAAAGTAAATATTCCCGCTTCGAAAATTTGCTTCTTAGAAGCAAGTTCTCAAAGGGTCGCCTGCCGTGAAGAAATTTCGCATGGTGACAACCTTTTTTTGATTGCAACATTTTCTGACTTTTCAATGGCTTTTAGGGTTTTGGGAGCATGATTTCTCATTAAAATGCTTTTTACAAAAAATCTTTCTGAAAATTTAACTGAAAATTTTCACGGAATGTCCAGGTGGTGGGCGTTTTATCAAAATAAGTCCATCGGTGGATCCAAGGGGGACGTTTTTCACATTCATTCTTACCGCCCTCTACTGACGAACACACCCCTTCTTTCCCACCTGTCTCTTGTCCGTTTGGCACAAATACGTCCAATTCTCAAGGATACGAGCTGTTAAAGAGCGACAATTGGATTACATTTTGCAATTTGGAACTATAATTTCTGGCTCAATTTTAAAAACACTCATGTGTATGGGGACACTGTTGAGACATACACTGGAAAAAAAACACACTGGATTTTGAGTCCAGACTCTTAAAAACATCGACAAGAAAAATTACTCTTGATTCAATCAGATTTAAGCTTAAATCAAGAACCCAGCCTCTCAATTTAAGCGGATTTCCTTTTGATTTAAGCTTAAATCTGATTGAATCAAGAGTGATTTTTCTTGTCGATGTTTTTAAGAGTCTGGACTCTAGATCCAATGTGTTTTTTTTTCAGTGTACGTTGTTTTAAAACCGGGCTGAAATTTAAAGTTCCTAATTTCAAAATGTAGTCCAATTAAGAGCCTCAGTGTTGCAGATAAAGAACAGGTTCTCCGAGGATCCGAAGTCATTGAATCTGATGTTTTTCGTCTGGATTTGTTGCAGTTCCGAAATACTACAGCGGAACGAAGAAGTTCGGAGACAAATGTGAGAACACGTGGGAGTGTGGGTTCGACGGTGGCATCTGTGACGCCATCAAAAAGTCTTGCCAGTGCCTCCCAGAGCTTCCAGCCACCAACCACATCGACAAATGCGGAAAAGGTCAGCCTCATTGCCATATTTCCACGTTTTTTGCATTTCTACTCCAATGAACAGAAAACTTCCTATTTCTTTTTTTGGTTCAAATGTACCACTAGATAAAGCACAAAGTTAAGCATTCAGCTACTTGTTTCCTAATCAAAATTTCACGTAAAAAACAATTTACACAACGAAAATTACTAAAATAGTGAAAAGATAGCGATTGGATAGTGATTTGTGAAATTCTAGTTAATTAGTTGCTCGGGAGAGAAAACATTTCTCTCCCCTGCATCGAGTATTTGCTTACGAGAGAAACGTTTTCTCTCCTGCGCAATAAGTTAATGCTCAGGAGAGGAATGAATCTTTACCTAAGCACCACTTAGTTGCTCGTGAGAGAATTCATTTCTCTCGTAAGCAAAAACTCAATGCAGGGGAGAAAAATGTTTTCTCTCCCAAGCAAAAAGTGCTCAGGAGAGGAATGTATCTTTTCCTAAGCACCGAATAGTCGATTTTTTGTCCGCGCACCTGTTTTGTCACTAGCGCCCCCAAACCTACAACAGGGATACTTCACGCATTGTGCAATGCTTGAAGTATCCCCTTAGGTTTGTAGGCACCAATGCGCGTTCCGCGCAATGCTTGAGGTATCCCCTTAGGTTTGTAGGCGCTAATGCGCGTTTCGCGCTGGCAGCATGCCCTCGCTATGTGTTAGGTACTAATCGATGGTGAAAGTGCAGAAGAGCGTATCTCGGAAAACACGATTTTCCAGGAGAGTAAAAAAACTGTCTCGTTCCTCCTTATTGTCAGTAGAAGGATAATAATTCTTGAGGATAGCAAGAATAAGATACTTTTTCCGACTCTGTCACCAACTGTTAGAAAATACGGCAGAAATGCACATGCAACAATGCACTGGAAAAAAAAAACACATTGGATCTAGAGTCCAAACTCTTAAAAACATCGACAAGAAAAAATACTCTTGATTCAATCGGACTTTCGGAAACATGTATCAGAATGCTTAAATTCGTACCTTGCCTTGTGCTTCACTATCGAATAAGATCCTACCAATGGGTCAGTTGCGCCGGCCACAGAATCGTGCTTTGATGCTTGATTATTGTAGATTAGCTAAAAATAATAAGATCCGTCCAAACACCAACTCTCTACGTTCTATCGAAGATATTGCGCTTTGAAAAATTCGTTTAATGACGTCATCCACTGCGATAGTGACACCCTTGGTTCCTTCCACCTTGCTTTCATTAGTCAGGGAGGCACACATTTTCACTGGTTTTAATCAACGAGAAACTCGGACGAAAGCAAGGTGGAAGAAACCGAGGGTGTCGCTACCGCAGTGGATGGCGTCATCAGACGAATTTTTCAAAGCGCGATATCTTGGCTAATATTGAACGTAAAGAAATGCTGTTTGAGCAGATCTTCTTATTTATAGCCAATCTAAAAAAATCAAGCATCAAAACATGATACTGAGACCAGTGCAAACTGACCCATTTTTTCTTCAGATGTCAACTGCCCAAAAATACGGACTGATCTACAGAACCGGGTCCAGCAATTTGGCAACACTGAATTTCCTCCAGTTGAACCTATGCTAAATAATCGATTCTTGTCGGAGCGCACAAGGCCCCTCCAAGAACCGATATATTTCTATAGGTTTAAATGGAGGAAATACGATGTTGCCAAATTGCAGGATCTGCCAATGCTGATCTAGTGGCTACATCGTCATTCTTGCGATGTTCCACCCATCGATTTGCGAAGGTCCCAACCAAAACGATTGAAAATAACCTCATGTCTGGATTCTGCGTAAAGTAAATTGTAATTGTTGTAGTTGTTTCATTAAAATAGTGATTGAAAAATCATTAATCAATCAATGACTAGTTGAGAATTGTTGATTGCAAGAAAATCACTTTACGGCGCGCATACGGCAAGAGCATGTGAACGTATGAAAATCAAAAGGAGCTATATCGATTCTGACATGAACCCTGAGATCCATGAGAATACATACATAATAGGGCTCAAGTCAAAGTGGATATAGTTCCTTTTGACTTAAATACGTCCATATGTTTGTTTACAATGGAAATTTTAAACAGGGATACAAAATCTATCATGTCGTAGTCAAGCCACTAAATCGGTCTATTGTATAGCTTTCGTATGTTTCCGTAAGCTATTGATTCCTAAAACTTGAAATAAATTTACTCCGAAATTAAAGAGAGTTGAAGATATGAGTGCAGGTTTCTAAACCTATCTGTCTCTGCTCGTACGAAATTAAAACCTCTTAAACTTCGGTAACAATTCCTTAATATATAAAAACCAGCCACCCACTTGCACCAACAAAATTGCTCCATTTTCTCTATGCCTGTAGCTTTGTCTACCAATATCAATAATCAACCCGCTGGAATGAAAAAACGTAATCAAAAACTTATAGGTATTACGTCGCTTGGTTTTTTCGTAAAAAACAATTAAATATGAGATGAAATCAGGCAACGTTTTTTGTAAATATATAGTATGATTGATTGACTACGGTAAATTTCGTCCAATTATGCGTCTATAAAAGACTGATGGCACTGCCTCGATAGGGGTGGCCTGGCAGGGCAAATATGCTGTACCATATTCCAAATAGTATTTTTTTCAGTTTTAACGACCGGGGCGTGCTTTTTTAATTAAATTGAATCATTTTTGTCACAGAGGGTATAATTGGATCGTTCCATTTGCACTCTCTCAAAAATGCTAATAGACTCAATCAAACCTAAGTCACTGCAAAGTGTTGATTGTTTAGTCTATATGTATGTATTGATTTATTTCCATCGTTCGCCGAAAAAACGGTTCAAGTTAAAGCCACAAGCTTGGCGTCGTGCGATCAATTCCGCATCCAATACTTGCCATAGACAGCGTCTTGGCTTTAAAACAGTAACGTAAAAAAAGCTGAAGTAACGCCTTTTAACGCACCTTTCTTGTGTGGCCAATGCAAAAATTCCACGAATAAATACTTTTTCCATCGATAAAAAGAAGTAGCATGAATATTGCTCAGACATTGCTACACAATGTGTTGACATAATTGAACTCCTGAACTCTCTGAAAACTCTAGTGATAATCTCCACGAGCCAAAAAGGGTTATTTTCACTTTAGTTTTAGGATGAAACGGTTTCAATCTTGAATGCCAGAAAGGGCTTTTAGTCCGGGAATAGAAAACACCCAACGAGAGCGCCCCCAGTTCTACGTTTATACCTCAAAGACATACCTCGATCAAAAATAGTTCGTAAGTTGGAATTTTTTAGCCAACGTGCGTTAAAAATCAGCATAAAGCTGAAAATTTTAATACAGAGGGAAAAGCACATATGAGCACAAGTTTCCCTCAAAGAGATACGCTGTTTGGTACAACACTAGTAACAGAAAGTTCAGGAGGCTGCGCTGCACTGAGGATTGGCCCAATAAATCCTGCACCAAACAAAAAGTTGCACCAAACAGCGTATCTCTTGGAGGGAAAATTGTGCTCATGTGAGCTTTTACCATCTGTATTGAGATTTTCAGCTTTATGCTGATTTTTAACGCACCTCGGCTAAAAAATTCCAACGTACTGTCTTACGACCCGTGCGTCTAGCGCAATCAGTTCGTGCAAAAATAGTTGCTTTAAAAATCTTGCTCAGCACATCGTGATATCGAATCTGAGGCGCGAAAGATACTCGTGTGTACAAACTATTCGTGCCCTAGAGAACTTGGTTGTATACACGAGGAATTGAAGGCATTTTGTCATTTTGGATCCTCTCAGTAACAACCCACCATTGCATCGTATCGCGGGTAAAGCGTTGTGTGTACAGAAAGTCAAAACGCCTTCAACTCCGTGAGTATGCAACACAGACATCCGTAGAGCCCGAATAGTTGCATCCAGGCGTTATAATGAATGTCGGTTATTGTTCGTCGCATGCGATACTAAGTAGGGCTCTTCGTCTGTTCCTCTCACAACTTTTAGCGTAAGTACAACGTTGTCTAAACTGTGCAGATGAAGTTTACTATCACGGATTTTATATTACGACATTGCCGCGATTTTCCAAAAAATGCATTGATTGTTAAAATGTATTACAACACTTGTCCCGATTCGAATTTTAGGATGAAAAAGGCAGAAAAGGCTAGAAGTGTTTTTTTTGGGGGGGGAGGGGTTCTTTTTCACTCTTCCCCCTTGGCCTCCCCCCCCCGCTTAGTGAGAATATTGATTATTATTTATTTCCGTGTGCATTATTAAATGATGTTAAAATTAGAATGCGATTATCAGAAAGGAATTTAACGCATCAGACCCATATATGAAAGCATATCATGGTATACAAAAAACGAATGGCAATTATGATGTTTCTGCAGTTGATAGTACGCAAAAAAGTTAATTTCTGGGTCCGAAACCAACGTCCGAAACTCGATCCAATTAAAAATAATGTGTTTGTCCGGGTCCGATTCGATAACACACTGTTCAACCTTGTTTAGGCTGCATTGCCGCAGTTTAATTGTGTTTCACTTTCTCGCTGCAGTTCATCTATGTTTCCCCCTATCGCTAAGGTACAGCTGGGATTCGTTTCATCCAACGCCACAACTCAGCTGTGGTTTTGTCTTTTGCATATCAAACAGAGAAAATAATTTTAAGGACAAATGGACTGCGTTTAACAGAAAGGAACGAAGCCACATCAGCTGTTGCCAAATTTAACTGGGAAATTTATTTTTATGCGAGAGAACGTTTGTGTGGATTTTTTTGAAATTTTCAAGGAATTTGCTTAGCACTACGAAGAAAATTCACTGAAATTTGCACGAAATTCGCACAACCGTTTTCATTTAAGCAATTAAACCGCTCAATTAAATTTGGCAACAGCTGATGTGGCTTGGTTCACTTCTGTTCAACGCGGTGCATATGCAGTCTGTGTTCGTATACGCATACAGCCGCGCTCAGTTCTGCCATGCTAAAGAAAAACGCTGTATGAACAGTCGAGAGTTGCCAAATTTCCCCGAATAAAACATTTATTTTTGAGTTTTGTTATTTTTCC